GGACTCTCCAGCCTGGAAAAGCACAGGCTCAGGGGTCATCTGATGGCTTCCTATAATTTTATAAGGGGTGCTCACCAGGATCTGGGGGAACGTTTGTTCAACAGAGCACACGAAGGGATGACAAGGTCGAACGGTCATAAACTCCTCCAAGACCATTTCATGCTGGACATAAGAAAGAACTTCTTTACTGTCCAAGTCCCCCCAGGTCTGAAATAGCCTGCCAGCGGAGGTGGTTCAAACACCTACTTTGAACACCTTCAACAGAAATTTGGATGTTTATCTTGCTGGGATCCTGTGACCCCTGCTGACATCCCTGCCCTGGGGCAGGGGGCTGGACTCGATGATCTTCTGAGGTCCCTTCCAGCCCTAACGTCTATGAAATCTATGAAATCAGCTTGGCTGCAAATTTCTAGTTTTCTTTTGGGACTCCCTTGACCTAACCCTAACATAACCTATCTGACAGACACATATGGTCCCCTCAGCACAGACAAGGCCATGGAGTGGGGACAAGGAGCCAGCCTTGTGCCCTCCAAACCATGAATGCCACATGCCCCCAGAGGCTGGGGAGGGCATGGCGAGCTACGGCAGGTGGCGGCAGGAGCATGGCAGCGGGAAGCGGGAAGCTCCCACAGGCGGCTGCGGCGCTGTCGGCAGCGGGGGGGAGAGCCAACTGGTGGTCAGTAACCACCCACAGACACCACCGGCAGCGTCGGCAGTGGCCAGCAGCGATCGCGGACTGCCCGCAGACATCGTCTGTGGTGTCGGCGGGGGGTGGGGGCAACCGCCTGCAGGTGCCACTGGCAGTGTCGGCAGCACCTTTTCATAGGGGATGAACTGCCATGCTCAGGGGGTGCACATGCATCCGTGTGCACCCCCTACGCATTGCCAATGCTCCAAACCATGTCCACTCAGCATAGACTGGGAGTGATAGATGAGGTACATGGGTCCGATCCTAGGCCTTCCTGACTGCATCTCCTCAACACAGACAAGGGAATGGAGAGGAGATCTAGCATTAGCATTGTGCCCTCTTGACTGGGTACCCTCAGCACTGCTACCTATCCCCTGCCATTGGCTATGAGGTGGAGACCAGAGCCTGGCTCGCCTGGGCCCAGGCCAGGCTGGAGCTGCTGTGACAAGGGCCACAAAACAGAAGTGTTTGTACAGCTGTGTGCAACAGGCCGAGTGAGCCAGCCCAAGGAACACAATGTTTAGAAAAGGACCAACTCATTTTAGGAGTTATCTCCAAAAGTTGAGACTTTGAGAATGCGCGGCCCAGCTGCAGCCCGAAGGGGCCAAGTTCAGGAATGTCAGGCTGGAAGTGGAGCCAGGGGCTTGGGAGGCGAGCAAGAAGGCGGGGGGAGGGGAGCTGGCCTGACTCTCCCCAGCTTGTTTATCTTGTAAGAAAAGCTTGGGTTTCAATTAACCAGGGAAGTAATATTAGAAGTGTGAAGCAGGCTATTAAAGAAATGGTTTAAGGCCCAGCTGTAAAGCCATCTTTGACAAGCTGATGGGCCAGCAAGGGGTAGATCAACTGCAGAGCTGAGCACCTGACAGGTGTTAATTGGGGTGGGATCCTGAATTTGTATCTACACTAGCACATAGGGTGGTGACTGCAAGACTGAGTGTGAACCAGCAGTACTTGAGAGGCCTCAAGACCTGAGGTGCCCTCCTGGCAACAGCGCCCTGTTGTGTTTGCTGCTGTGTCCTGTCGCTGCAGCTCTCATTGCCTCTTATGTGCTTGGTGGAGTCTGACTCCCAAGGAATCCAGAGGGCTTAGGCACAGTTGCAGGGGACCCTGTGGATTTCATTCCAGCTACGTCCCAGCAATATCCAGATCCTGACCCATCTTCACCTTGTCCAGTCTGCAGGAATTGGGTCACTTGCTCCAGCCCAACTGGGAGTGCAAGCACTGCACTGGACTAACCCTCCTTGCTGCAGTCAGTGTTTGTCAGAGTCTGAGCCCAGGGTGGGGCCCAGCAGATCAGTCCCACCAGAGGAATGGTGCTTGTGGGATGTGACTTCCCAGCCTGGGGCAGTGCAGAGCCCTGGAGAAAGCTGATGCTGGACCAAAATACTTGTTCACAGGAAGGTGCTGACAGGGGAGAGGATCCCAGCCTAGAAGCAGTGCAGTACCACAGAGGGTGGGAAGTCCTGAGTCTAGACATGGTCAGTGCTGACAGCCCTCCACAGGCATAGCCCAGCCCTGACACATCTAACAAGATGGGAGGGAAAGGGATTGCAGTTTGGAAAAACTGCTGAGAGGACAACAGAGGCCAGCCACAAATCAGGGTGGTGGAGCTTACAGGCAAGGGTTCCCAGATAGCGGGGGACAGAGCGGGGTGCTCAGAAGAGCTGTTCCCCACCTGTGGGAGCCTTGTAACTGCCACGAGCACAGCACTGAGACTGGCCCTCACCCTCACTGCAGTCAGAGCTAGGTGCAAACCCCAGCTCCCTGGAAGAGCATCCTCCCCACAGAGCTCTCCCACTGCAAACCCCCCGGGCCTGCCTGCCTGCCGGACCCACAGGATGAGGAACGGGTTCTGCTGAGGGGAGAGTGAGGCCCCAGCCTGTCTGGTGCATACACTACAGAAAATCACCCAAACCCTCTAATCACAGGCTGCAGCATTATAGAGACAGACAGAACAAACGAACGGACAAGCACAGGGGACAGAATTGCGCTAATGGATAGAAAGTTGGCATGCTGTAGCCACGATGGTACAGGAAAAATGCAAAAAGCAAGGGACTTTTTGCTGAACTTTTACTACACTAACTGTATAGCTGGGAGAGATGTTAGGCAAGTTTTGGGCACCAGGTGCCTTCTACTGAGCAGAATGGTGCAGACTGAGGCTATCGCAGAGCACCAGGCAGAGGCACATTGCCCCTAGGTCAGAGAGTGGGGGCCTGTGAGGGACAGGGCAGGGTCGAAGCTTCAAGAGATCACAGGGCCATTGTACACAGTGCTCGCAGGACGGGGTGAGGGCTCTTCTCTGAGAAGAGCACAGGGCCGTGGAGACCCATACGCACCGGTTAGGATGAGGCCCCTGCCTTGAGGAGGTCACAAGGCCAAGGGGTACAACACTCACAGCATGGGCTGGGAACTGTCCCTGGAAGGCCATGGGCTGTGGCACTTACAGTTCAGGGAAACAGCCCTGCCCTGAGGAGGGTGCAGGGCCATGGGGTTCAGCATTCACAGGAAAGGGTGACAACGGCGTATGGAAACCACAATATGGGGTAAAAACTGGGACCAGGGGAGAATATAGTGGGAGCAATGCTCATACGGGGTGAAAGCCCTGCCCTGTGGGGGAGCGCCAGGACCTTGTGGTACAACACTCACAAAAGGGCTTCCCCCTCGCAGAGCATAACATTGTTGGGTACAGCGCTCAGCGTAGGATTAGGGCCCTGCCCTGGGGAGATTATGTGTCTGTAGGGTACGGCACTCGGAGGATAAGATAAGGACCCCCCCAGGAGAGCACAGGCGCTGGGGTACAGTGCTTACAGGGTGGATATGGGCCTTGCCCCAGGTAGCCATAGGGAGCACCGGCCAGGCTCTGCGGGGTTGCATGGGGAGCAGGTGACAAGCTGGAGATTTGGCCCACTCGGTCCCCGCACCGCTCAAGTCCCTTGGAGCAATGCTAGGAGCGGTGTCTCAGGACACTCCTTGCCAGTTCAGAGCAGCCTCTAATTTGTCTCAGGGCTGACAAACAAATGCCTCCAACTGTGGGGAGAGGGTGCCCTCTCGAGGCCCGGCGCCAGTACTGCTCTGCAGCTCCTGCAACCCGCTCTGAGGATGCCTTGCCCTCCAAGTGTCCTCAGGCACCCACTAACCCGTGGGGGGAGCCTTGCAGTGACCAGGGTTTGGACAAGCAAACAAGGGTAACAGCACAAACAGGGTCTGGCCATCCACTCTGCCGTTCCTGCCCTGGGACCACTCCAGGCACTGGGCTGCTCCACCTCAGGGTGGGAGAACCCCAAAAGTTATGAGGGCAGCCAGCCTGAAGGCTTGCTGGCTGTGGGGCCTGTAGAAAGGTACAAGGCATTAGAGGTATAATATGAATTATAGCAGGGCCCAGAGTTATGAACAAACAGAATAAGTGCCCCAAGGACTGCCCTGGTTGTATAGGCAAGGCAGGATGGGGCAGGACTGTTATTGTACAGGACACTGAGGCACAGAGAAGTTATATAGCTACCCCTAAATCATCCAGAGAGGCAGAAGCAGAGACAAGCCCTGACCCAACCTCTCCTGAGCCCTAACTCAGGGCCCTAAGAGTAAGCCCATCCTCTCTCCCTTGTTCTAAACCCGTTAGCCTGGAGTCCTCTACTAGGACAGCCCTGTGATCCTGCATGCTGCGCACCCACAGCATAGAGAAGTATGGCGGTATCTGCCCAGAGAGCCTGCCTGCCTCCCGCTTTTCAGAAATAGGAAGCAGGCCATGCCCTTCAACCACTGTGTCCCAATCCGCACAGCGTGGGGACAAAATACAACAGAAGCTAACTGTACCCGTCTGACACAAAGTCCAGAAGGCACAGTCTAGGGCATGTCATCGTGGTGGGAGAGGACCGTGCTTGTCAGACATTGTGTCCTACTGCCTGCAACAGCAGTTTCGACCTTCCCATCATGCACACAAGCAGCTTCCCAAGCTGCCTATCAGCTCCTCATTTACCCACCCAGGGCACACATCAAGGATTACCAACCTCTCCAACCCTTGGGTGAAAGTGCAGTGATAACGTGAGTTCTCTCCACCCTAGAAACCCTGCTCTGGGTTATTCTAGCAGTGAGTGTGAAACATAAGCTCAACCCAGAGATCCATATACATTAAGGAACAGCGCCCTGCTCCTCTAGTGAGGACCGCAACCAGAAAGAGCACTCGAACCACTGCTGGGCACTGAGCGTCTCTGAAGCCACTAGCCAGGCCAGGGGGTTTCCAGTGCAATCCTGGTGCCCCTTCCCTGCATCCCCAGTTCCACATGCAACAGACAGAAGGACCGGCCACCTTTTCAGCGGGGTTTATAAAACTCACTAAAAGAAAGAACTTAGACTAGTTCTTCCTCTACCAGGAAAGAAATCTCCTTTAGTACTGCTCCACCTCCAGGGCCGCCTTCTCTTCCTCCACACCAGCCACCCTGACTGTATGCTCAAAGGCAGCTTGCAGACACCAGGACACAAGGCAAGTGACCCAGGCAATTAAGTAGGCCGGTCCCCAGGTGACCAGGTCCAGCAGACTCTTCAGGTGGAAGTAGCAGATCTTCAGCAGCATCTGTGTGGTGATGAGCTGTCTCTCCAGTGCCCACTGGTAAGAGGGAGGCAGAGCAACAGAGGATTTATAACCAAGCCTGGACATCTCACAGAGGCAGTGCCTTAGGGTCTAGAGAAAGATATCCATCCCCAGAGCTCTGCAGCAAGGGGACACTGGGCCGGTAGCTAACCTAGGGGTGGGCAAAATGTGGCCCGAGGGCCGGATGTGGCCTGCTAGGCCATTTTATCTGGCCCATGGGGCCCCTAAAAATTTTATAAAATTAATATTTATCTGCTCCTGGCTGCCTGTCATGTGGCCCTCGATGGCTTTCCAAAACTCTAAGCTTTTAGCAAGCTTAGAAGGCTAGTTAGTGAGGGGATGCAACTGAAGAACATAGAGCAAATGGGGGTCTAGGAGGGTTGGAGGTATCTCAAGGGAGTGATCCTTGGCACTCAAAAGGAGTCTATCCCATTACATAGGTAGGGAGGTAAGGGGGCAAAAAAGCCCCCTTGGCTGAACAAGGAACTCCAGGAGAGTCTGGGGGCAAAGAAAGAGATGTATAGGCAATGGAAGCAGGGAGCAGCCACCAAGGAGGAATATATCTCCCTGGCGCACTACTGAAGGGAATCAGTTAGACAGGCCAAGGCGGGGCTTGAGCTCAGGCTGGCTTCAACAATCAAGGACAATAAAAAGTCCTTCTTCAGGTATATAGCAGGCAAAAGGAAAGCTAAGAGCAACATAGGGCCCCTGCAGGACAAATGAGGACAGTTGGTGGTTGACGCAGGGAAAAAAGCAGAGCTCTTCAATAAGTTCTTTGCTTCAGTATTTCTATGTACCGACCAAGCCAATTCCCCCACCTCGATCATTGACGGATGTCCACATGGCACCAGTCCGCCTACGGTTAGTTCTGAAATAGTTAAGGAGCTCCTGGAGGAGCTGGATGGGTACAAGTCAGCAGGCCCGGATGACC